CCTGGTTCTTCCTGACCTTGTACTTTCTCCTCACGTTCCCTCTTTCCTCTCTCCCTCTTTGGACTCACAATCATACACAAATAGGTTGTATTCAATTAAATGAAAAAATGACATTAATATGAAAAAAACCTATTAAGGGCTGGGCCATATCATACCATTCATGGTAATACCGGTATAATGTTGGGCAACGATAAGAAAGTAAAATATGTTGATAGAATATGGGCAAAACGCGCATGCCAGTGCCTTTGTTTTCATACACACATGGTAGAAAAAGCAGATCGTTGAATGAAACAGATGAACCTGAACTGGTTTGTAAAGATGCTGCAGCTTCAGTGGTGTGTAACTGGTTTAGCTTTCGTCTGTCAGATACACAACAAAGCACTGTTTTTGGTAGAACACATGGAAGCGGGCCAAATAACCTGGGCCTGCACGGCGTCAATGCATTAGCCGCATGCACGGAGCGAACCACGTTAACTCGCTAACGGAGATTTGCCGCATTAACGCGGTTATGGCGTTATATTATATATATTTATGCTGAGGATATGTGGGCCAACATATGTAAAATCAAAAATCATCAAAAATCATTTGATTTTACACTTTTACCTGAATGTGGCTCCTGTTTTTGAAAAAACTTCCTCATATCCACTGTGAACTTGGCTGTCTCTGTACACACACACACACAACAGGAGTTATAAGGTTAATGAGCATCCTGTTAGCTAGCTAGTTAGTACCTTGGCACATGCAAATATGACAAAATAAGCAGTTTCTCTCATTTCAAACAGGACAGTGGTAACAACAGCAGCTGCGGACAGTTTAAAGTTTTAGATTTTAAACAGGCTGTAAACATTTCAGTGGGAGCAACAGGACGATCAAATGTTGCTGATTTTACTACAGAGCAGGACGGATTGTAGGGCAGCAAACATCGTCAGAAAACACGTTTCCCACACTGCAGGTTACCTGGTGTAATGTTTTCAGCTAGAAAGAAACACGGCCTGACTCCTACCAACTGTATAAAGAGTAACTGAAGGTTAAATGCAGCCAACATGTCCTGTTTTAAGCCACCATCGCTCTGGCAGAAAGGGCGCCAGAGCCAGAGCAGGGGACAGGCGAGCTGGAACAAACCATTTTTTTGGAGGGGGGGTATCTATACTTTTGTTGTTAAAATGTCACGTCTCAACCAAGTTTATTTTTAGTAGTGTGTCACACAAACAGC